ACCACCTTGTGGCCCGGCCGGAGGGCGAACCTTCCAGTCCACCCGTCCCTTCGAAGGGCTCGGGTCGAAGATGTAGAACTCGTCCGAGAGTTCCAACCACTGCTTGTCCTTAAGTTCTTGAAACAGATGTTCAGCAGTGGCTAAGATGGCAGGGTCGTCAGGTTGAAAGTTGGGATTCGAAGACCTCACTTTGTCAAGCACCGAAACCCTCGCGAGTTCCAAGTACTCCACCTTCGAGTGGCGTGGGTATGGGTCCCACAACCCTTGGTCGCTGATGAGTGCCATAATCCACTCGCCCTTCTCGATTGCCGGCTGGATAGTTCCCGGGTGCCATATCATGTCATGGCCCCAGTCCGCCTCGCTCGATCGAGTGTGGTCGAGCCCTTCGAAGTGAACGGCATCATCCTTGCGAGAAGGATGATGCAGCGGAATCGAGCTCCCGGGACGCAATGGAGACGGGGGGGCAGCCCGAGGCGTCAATCTCGACGCCAGCTTACTCGGGGTCTTACCAGGGGTGATCGTGAGCACAGGCAACGCCTGGGCGACCTGGCTTGTTGCGGGACCGGCCGACAAGGAGCCAACGCCATGAAATAGCGGACGAGGATGGTAATCGATGTTGATGTCCTCGCTGTCGCTGTCCTCCTCCGGCGTTTTGGTGTCGAAAACAACGCCTGTCTCCGCCTCATGCTCCGTGGAGATCAAGGGACCATAACTCTCGAGCTTCAACACCTGCTCGGACTCGACGAAGTAAAAACACTCCAGCTGGTCGAGGAAGTTCTTTGCGTTCTTGCGTGAGGCGTCGTGGTAATTGTCCAGCAATGCCAACATGTGATCCTTGTGGCGCATGTACTCAGCGTCGTTGTCCCTCCTGGGCCGCGTTTCCAAAAAGAGGAACTCGTAGATCCTTTTCCTCTTCCGCTTGCTCAACTTGAACCACATGTCCGTAGACGGTTCCCGAACGCGTGTTGATTTCTCGGTCCTCGAAACGAACTCGCCGCGGCTGGCTCCAGAGTTGACCTCACTTTTGAGGGACTCAAACATGTATTGCAACAACTCAGAATTCCCTTCTAGTGCGACCACGTGTCGGTCGCTCTTCAAAACCTCCCACACCACTCGCGCGTGCGGCTTGCCGAGGAACATGACGCCCTCACCCTTTTTGCACACAAATTCTAGCAGATGGGCCAATTGTGCGGGGTTCCGCTCAGAGTTTATCTTGTTAACTTTCTTGTCAACTCCAAGCATGGCCCACGGCCACTCACAAGGGTCGAAGGGAGTCTCAGATATGTCTGTCAGGGTCACTTTCTGATGCACCCCGATAGCCGCAGCGTCACCCGCCGACAACCTAGCATCGTAGACGACGCATGTATTCTCCCGCAAATCGTCGCCTTTGAAGAGAATGTACATGCGGTCGTCAGCCGAGTACAAGTTGTTCCCCACTAAGAAACTTTTGTTATGTTGCGTCCTTCTAATCCACTTCCCTGCCATTGCCTTCACAACGGGCAGATGGCGCAGGCTGGTCATGAAGGCGTAGTCCCATTGCCGAGGGACGAAAGCGACGACCGTCCAGTGTGACGGAAACAATTGCTCTAGGAGGGAATTTAAACTCTCAAAAGCTTTCGGCGTCCACTGTTTGAAGTCCACCGGCTCGCACAGATCGAGAACGCACGTGTGGCATTTGGTGGTCCCAACCGCTTTCTCCAGCTCCGTGACCCTCAACTGTGCCTCCAGAGGGTCAACGCTGAACGGGGCAATCGATGTCACGTCCCCCGAGTCTTTCCATAGAACGTGCACCACGCCTTCAGCAAGTGCGACCACCATGCTCTTCGCCCGACTGCTCGTAAGCACTGAGAGGACCTTGTTCTTCCAGTCGACGGACAACTTCTTGTTTTGGGCGAGTTTTTTCGTCGCCTTGATCGTTTTGTCGTCCTCGCACCCCATGAATGGCGGGCAGTCCTTGAACAGCGAGGCGTCACCGACGAGCTTCCTGCTCCCGTCCCACAACGAGGCATCCATTCCTTGCTTCTCGAACGCAGCCAAAATTGACTCCCGCTTCTTCAGGAAGGGATACGCACGTGTCCAGTCAGCAACCGGCCAATTCTCGTGCACAAACTAATAGTAATTCCACAACCACACTAAGATGCGTTTGCACTTGAGAAGGTGCACTGCTTCCTGCACTCCCAGCTTGCCTTGCTTTGCCAACGATGCGGAGCCTGTTTGCACCCACACAACCTCGCAGTTAAGGACCTTCTTGAGCAACCGACATTTCTCGTTGTTGGTAAGGGCTTCCATGCACTTCCAGCAGTGCAGATCCGGCTCAATGACCTAGACAAACCAATAGCCAGACTCTTTTTCCTTCTTTCCTTTCTTTTGAGGCGCCTCGATGGGGAAACCTCCTTTTGGCCCAACTTCTCGTTTTCGATGTGGCTAACGCCGGGCCTGACGCCCTTCACTTTCCTTTTCCTTGTGATCCACTTCGCCCCCTCGAGTGCCAGAAGTCTCCCCGTCTCCCATTTCTCGAAAAATTCCATACCTAGCTCCCACGCGCTTTTCCCAGCCATCACCAACGGAAAATAAGAGTGAAGGGCAGCGTTCTGCTTCTTAATACTCTCCTCCCCCTTCTCATTACCGAGAATCCACAGGTGGTTGTAAGGCGTTTTGCTAAGCGCTTACGAACAGAACTCACGCCATTTATTCACCTGTGCTTGTTTTCCGCTGGGCTTCCCCATATCAACCTTTGGGAAACCCTTTTCCTTCCAGAGCCACCGAATGTCCTTCATTGATAGTTTCCGTTCTTTAGGAGGCGCCTTCAAGTCCTTCATGTTGTCCTCCGAGATGAACAAAAAATAACCATCGAACTCCTCGTCCGAGAAGTAAACCATACGTGCAGGCCACCTGTCGAAGTTGTACCTCAAAGCGACGTCCGTGTCGAGCAGCGACTTGGTTGCGGCCGCATTGTGCTGGCCTGAAACAGCGTAATAATAGTATTGGTCCGCGAGCTCGTCCTTTCAGTCCTCTGGTTTCTGACGTTCAGCCCGCACGCCCGACTTCGGTTTCTCCATCCCGAGTGGCGCCAGCTTAAGGGTAGGCAACTCGTACGTCTTCTCGGCCTGCTAGAACGTCGTCATCATCGCGTCAATGATGATCTGCGTCTGCACGGGATCCAACGACCTTTGGTTGTACGATGGTTCCCACTCACCGATGTCGACGACCTGCGACGGGCTAATGAAGAATTCTCGCTTCGTCCGCACACTGTCTTTCCATTCCAGGAAGTACGCGGCGTCCACGTCGATGGGACCCTTAGACTCGAGAGCACCTCGCTGAGGTTGTTTCTGCACCGACGTTGGGCGTTTCCGACCCGATGTGCCCTCCTGCCCCTCAACTCCCTTCCTTTTCCCCCCTGTCATTTGGGGGGTCCTTGCCTTATGTTTCTTTGCGGAACCCGCACCCTCTTCCTGAGGGCCTCCCCTCCTCTTATGTGCAGGCTGAGGCACACTTTGATCTTCCCCCCCGGCTGATGTCGACGGCCGTTTGCGAACCGGGGTCTGTCCTTCCACCTTGGGAATACTGAGGGCAGACCGGTCTCCGCTCCTAACTGGCGAAGGCTGCGTTTGCTCATGTTCTTCGTCGTCGTTGTCGTCGAAGCGACCACGGGACTCGCCTCGACCAAGTTGCAAAGAAGAACCGGAACCCAAATCTCCCCCTTCCGTGGGAGCACCGCTGGATTGGAACCCGGTGCACATCTGGAGAGGCATCGACAACTGTTGGTCACCATGAACGTCGCAATGATCGTCTAGGTCGATGTTACTCTTCTCCACCAAGTCAAAAAACTCCCGTGCCGAAACAACACCTCCTACTGTAAGATCTTGGTAGAACGGGGTGTTGGTAGCCCTAGCCCCGAACCCCTGGAACAAATCGAAAGACAAAACCGCCGCTTTGGGATTGGCAACAACGTCCCCCTTCAAATTGTAAACAATGTGCAACTTATAATGTTGTGTGTTATTTTTTTTAGCAGGGTGCCATTCTGCCACCGCCCCAAGAACCCTACGCCTGTTTTTGTCTTCGAGGAATATAATAGGACCACACGGAGGTTTGGTGGGCTAGGACTCATCCCCGCAGCACCAATCGACAAACCATTTGGCATGCGCATGATACAACCACGATTTCGAGGTCCGCGATTCCCTCCCTGAGATCCCGGTCGGCTGCTCTTCGCCCCTTGACGTCGACATTGTGTCTGCAACGATCCAAGACACGAAAACAACCGAACACACGGATAACATAAATGACCAACGCCTGTACAGAGGTCCGTTGTACCAAGTTCGAGAAAAGACATTTGTACCAAGTTCGGATATCGGCGAACTAAACAAATTCGCAAGGAATTGGTGAGGGCTGATAACAACATGCGACGATGATAAACGTACTTAGTCCGCCGGAATCCGTACTTATTCGGATCCATCTGCAGCCTTCATGCGAAGTCCGGATGCCGGCAAACTTGTCGAATTCATGGGGGAGCATCATGAACAGAATAGTCCGTGACATCGTCAGACTTCGTCGCTCCGACGCCCAATCCCCAGCGTAAAGCATCGAACACTAGCCCCAGATGCGTTTCAGCAGTCCGCCAGTATTCGCACTTGTTCGGATGTAGCTTCATCCTTCATGCGAAGTTCGGATGCCGGCGAACTTGTCGATTTCCTTGGGGAGCATCATGGACGGACAATTTTGTGACATCGCCAGACTCCACCTCTTTGACCCCCAGTCCCCAGCGTAAAGCCCCCAACACTAGCCCCAGTTGCGTTTAAGCATCGCGAATGACTATCGAACAATTGTTCACCTGCGGGATCTGGAGGGGAGTTCTGTTTGTGGAGTGCGAAACTCTGCTTGAAACAGATCCAGATCCAACAAGAGGGCCCACCAAACTCGCCCCAGTTGCGTTTCAGCATCGCGAACGACTGCCCAAACAACTGTTAACCTGCGGGATCTGGAGGGGAGTCTTGTTTGTGGAGTGCGAAACTCTGCTCGAAACAGATCCAGATCTAACAAGAGAGTCCACCAAACTCGCCCCAGTTGCGTTTCAGCATCGCGAACGACTGCCC